GTGGCTCCATCCCTTACTTTACAGTCAAATGGAGGCTGGGCAAGGGCTGGGGTGTGAGTCCAGGGGGCACCCCTGAGCCCGCCAGCATAGCCTTATGAGGTGCCTGGCACTTCGGGGAGGATTTAGGCTCACAAGGCAGGGGGCGGGCCCTGTGCACCTGTGTCTGGAACAGGGGTGGTGGGAAGAGAGATGCTGCAACCTGGGTGTGAGGGGCAGGAGGTGGAGGGCAAGGCCTTGGAGGAAGTGCAGAAACCTTAACACTCTGCCCAGGTCACCGAGCTGTTGGCAAGTGGCAGAGCCAGGGCTCCAACCCCGGCAGTAGGGCTCTCACCGGCTCCTGGTGGAGGCATGGGACGGGGTGAGTCAGGGGAGGCTGGAGGCTGCCCCACGGGCCTTTCCACTACAGTCCAGCTGTGCCAAGGTGACCAAGAGGGGAGGGGAACACAGGCGCTGCCAGGCCCTGGGATGGAAAGTCACCCATGACATTTCCGTAAGAATCACTGGAAGGCCACGGTTTTGGGTGTGGGCGTCCTGGAGAGCTGTTTTAGTGCCCATGCCAATGCCCCAGTTAAAGAACCAGCCCGTCCCCTTAGCCTTCTGCAGGACAGGTGGGAAAGGGCCGGGTGTCTGGTCCTGCTGCCATGGGACAGTGTAGGTGTGACCGTCCGGGCAGAGATGAGTCACCCTCCACCCTGTCTCACTGCCTGTTTCCACACCTAGTTTTAGCTCAAGTGTGGCCAAGAAGGGGTGATTCCTAACCTAGAACACACGGGTCACAAATACTACCTTTGAAAACAGAAACAAGAATAACCCACTCAAAGGCAGGCTGGTCCCCCCATCAGACTGTGGCTTCCAGGCTAAGGCATGAAGACCTTGGCTACTCAATGTTTGGGCCCCATTGTGGCCATGGCTTTTAACTCAGTCATCCCCTAACATCCTCTCTGCCCTCTCAGACAGAGGTGATGTTATAGTGACAGGCGGCTACGCTCCAGGTCTCCATATGCAAAAAATAGCCAGACACAACGCAAGTGCAGGAACAGCAGGAGCACGGTGACACCCTGCCCTGAGAAATCCTTGTGGCTTTTGAGAAACAGCAGCACTCCTGACCCCCAGCTTCCTTCTTAATCATGTTGAGCCTACAGCAAATTGTGGAGAGACTTTGCAACCCTAGCCCATGACATTCCGGAACCAGAGGATAGATACAAACCAGGCTAAGATCAAAATTTGCTTTTTTTTCCCCCTAAGATAGGGTCTCTGTCACTCAGGCTGGAATGCAGTGGCGCAATCACAGCTCACTGCAGCCTGGACCTCCCAGGCTCGAGGGATCCTCCCACCTCAGCCTCCCTAGTAGCTGGAACTATAGGTGCAGGCCAGTGTGCCTGGCTACTTTTTGTTTTTATAGAGACACAATCTCACTATGTTGCCCAGGCTGGTCTCAAACTCCCGGGCTCAAGCCATCCACCTGCCTCGACCTCCCAAAGTGCTGGGATTACAGGTGTGAACCACCATGCCCGGCCCCAAATTTTCTCTACTTGGCCTCAAGCAGAAAGCCACAGACAACAGAGACCTAAGCTACTCGTGATTTAAAAACCCAAAAGCAAAAACAAAAAGTCTTGTGGGTTGCTGCTCCCACCCCGTCCGAATGAGCGTAACGCTTGTTGGTTCCACGAGCTTCATGTTCTTCAGGGAAGTCCGGCTCAAGTTTCTCAGAGGCATGCACTTGGGGTCCCGCTGGGCACCTCGCCCCACACAGCCAGAGTTCCAGCTGTTACTCACTCATCACCTGCGTCCTCCACCAGAGCAGGAGTCCTGTGGTTCCATGTGCATGACTCACTGCTCATCTCTAGTGACTAAGACAGTGTTTAGGACTCATATCTGTACATTTATTTATTTATTTTGAGATGGAGCCTCCCTCTGCCCCCAGGCTGGAGTGCAGTGGTACAATCTCAGCTCACTGCAACCTCTGCCTCCTGGGTTCAAGCAATTTTCCTGCCTCAGCCTCACGAATAGCTGGGATTACAGGCGTGCACCACCACGCCCGGCTAATTTTTGTATTTTTAATAGAGAAGGGGTTTCGTCACATGTTGGCCAGGCTGGTCTTGAACTCCTGACCTCAAGTGATCCACCCACCTCTGCCTTCCAAAGTGCTGGGATTACAGGTATGAGCCAACGCGCCTGGCCTCATATTTGCAAATTAAATATTTTATAAGAACAGGTCAATCTTTTCTGGGGAAAAAGGGTAAAAATAGGAAAAAAAAAAAAAAAGAGCAATAAATGGGATCTTTCCCACACCTACATCCCAGCTGTGCCAAAAGCACTTTTTGATACCCAGTCTTTTGATTCAAATGCATCAGAGATATAGTCCTCTTTTTGGAAACAAGCACGAAACAGGAGAAGCTATGATCATACACACGATGAGGATATGCTGCAGTGAAAATGAGTAAGAGAGGCGTTTGTGTGATGTGGATGAATTCAGTAACCATGCTGAGCCCAAAAAGCCTAGCTTCCAAAAGACCCCACATAATATCCTTTTTATAAAGTTCAAAACCAAGTAAAACTAAACACTATGTTTAGCATACATGTACGGATAAAGATAGGGAGGGCTAAGCCCCACATTCAGCAGGTATACCTTTTGTTTCTTTTTTTTTTCTTTTTTGAGATGGAGTCTCGCTCTGTCACCCAGGCTGGAGTGCAGTGGCGCAATCTCAGCTCACTGCAACCTCCACCTCCTGGGTTCAAGCAATTCTCCTGCCTCAGCCTCCTGAGTAGCTGGGATTACAGGTGCTGCCACCACTCCCAGCTAATTTTTTGTATTTTTAGTAGAGACGGGGTTTCACAATGTTGGCCAGGCTGTTCAAACTCCTGACTCTCAAACTCCGATCCACCAGCCTCAGTCTCCCAATGTGCTGGGGTTACAGGCGTGAGCCACCGTGCCCAGCATCTTTGTGTTGCTGAGACAGGGTCTCGCTCTGTCACCCAGGTTGGCAGTGGTGTGATCACAGCTCCCTGCAGCCTCAGCCTCTGGGGCTCGAGCGACCCTCTTGCCTCAGCCTCACAAGTAGCTGGGACTACAGGCACACGTCACCATGCTCAACTTTTTGTAGGATAGGGTCTCTCCATGTTGCCCAAGCTGGTCTCGAATTCCTGGGCTCAAGGACTTCCTACGCTGGCTTCCCAAAATGTTGGGATTATAGGTGTGAGCCATCGGCAGGTATACATCCAAGGAGGCAGCAGGGGAAGGGAAAAGGGAGGTAGCGCACAGGTAGTGAATTTCTGGGTCTTGGGTCTGGGTAGTGGGCTCACAGTGCTTCATTATATTATCTACAAAATATTCATAAGTAAGGCCATTCGGGGACCAATGATACCAACATGTCACAAACGAAGACTGGTTGATCTAAGTCAATGTATCTGAGGTTCTTGGAAGGGAGGGAGACAGACTCTGAAACCATCCTAGTCCAGGGATCAGCAAACTATGGCACAAGGAGCAGATGCCACCCACCACCTATTTTTGCAGAGTCTCATTGGAACCTGGCCACGCCCTTTCATTTCTGTATCATCTGTGGCTGCTTCTGAGTAGCTGCAGTAGAGCTGGGTAATTGCCACAGGGGCTGCACTGCTGGCCAAGGCTAAAATACTTCCTCTCTGGCTCCTTGCAGAAAAAGTGTGTTGATCTCTGTCCCTGTCCCTAAGACTGCAACTGGCAGAAGAGAAGCTACCCAGTGTGAGGTCTCCGTGGCCATGGTGGATGCCAGGTCGGTGGCAAAGCTAGCGGGGAGGAAACTGATCACCCAGGTGCCCACACCCTTGCCAGTCCCAGAGGGAGTCACCCAGTGGGGCGAGGGTTGCCTATCTTCTCTTTTCTGTCCTCTCTCTTTTCTCTTAAAGTTATAAGAATGTATTACGTGATGTGCTATTTAAACAATGCTGGTTCTGTCACTTAGAAAGACTAAGAGGTTTTAGCTTTGGTTCAGTCTCTGTTAATGTCTCAGCCCGTGGCTAAGCACCAAGTGATCTGTTTCCTGAAATTGTGCCCGTCTGACCTTGGGTGCCCCTGAAAGGCCAGTGTTTATTTGGCTAAAACATCTGAAGGGCTTAAATAACCTGGAATCTCCATCTGTGCCTGTGGCCCCTGAAAACAGACTGTCCCCCAGGCCGGAGTGCAGTGGCATGATCAGCTCTGGGAGATGCATCCACAGTACACGGGCTAGACATACCCACTGAAACCCACACAGGTTCCTATTCTTGTATATAGGTGGTTTCCCAAATGGGACTTCGTTTTAAAGGCAAGACTAGGCCGGGCACGGTGGCTCAAGTCTGTAATTCCAGCACTTTGGGAGGCCGAGGCAGGCGGATCACAAGATTAGGAGTTCAAGACCAGCCTGGCCAACGTGGTGAAACCCCGTGTCTACTAAAAATACAAAAAACTAGCCAGGCGTGGTGGCAGGCACCTGTAATCCCAGCTACTTGGGAAGCTGAGGCAGGAGAATCGCTTGAGCCCAGGAGGCAGGGGTAGTGAGCTGAGACTGCACTATAGCACTCCAGCCTGGGCAACAGAGTGAGACTCCATCTCAATCTGTCGGTATGACAGATTGCCATTTTTTTTTTTTTGAGACGAGTCTCACTCTGTAACCCAGGCTGGAGTGCAGTGGTGCAATCTCGACTCACTGCAACCTCTGCCTCCTGAGTTCGAGTGATTCTCCTGCCTCAGCCTCCTGAGTAGCTCAGATTATAGGCACATGCCACCATGCTCGGCTAATTTTTGTATTTTTAGTAGAGACGGGGTTTCGCCATGTCGGCCAGACTGGTCTCGAACTCCTGACCTCAGGTGATCTGCCCACTTCAGCCTCCCAAACTGCTGGAATTACAGGCGTGAGCCACTGCACTGGCCCCAGACTGCCCATTTTAAAGAGGCCTAATAGTCTCTGAGGCAATGACGCAAACACAGATCTTAGAGACTCGGGTATCAGCTCTGGCATCACCATTATCAATGATGTATTTACCCCGGGTGGGCCTCTCGCGTTTAGCATATGTTCTGGAACTCTTGCAAGCGTTTCCTGGCTTCTTCAAGAAACTGCTTGTGCAACTTGTTTTGCTCTAAAATCTGCTGCTGCTGGTCTCGGATCATCTGACTGTGCCAGTCGTCGTCGGCGAGGCTGGTGCCCGATGGGGAATTGGTGCTGAGCTCAGATCCTCTCTCCCTTTCCCGGGCTCTTGTGGAGGAGGACTTCAGATGCGCCAGTCGAGCCCTTCTTTGCTCCCTCCTCTCTTTTTCTAACTCAGCCTTGTAGTGGATTTCCAAGCTCATATCTGGGTGTTCCGTTCGTTCAAGCGATTCCAGTTGTTTTTGTCTTCTCTGCTCCATCTCTGCTTTCTGCCTTTGCCTGGATGCCGTTGAACCCGCTCTGTCTGTCTGGTCTTGAAGGTGGAGCTGAAGGGAGCCCTCTGCCAGCGTGCCCAGTTTGGGGGTCTCTTGTCCAGATTCAGTGCTATACGATAATGAGTCCCCTTCACTGATAAATATACCTGCCTCAGGAGACAATGTTTGACTTCCATTTCTAAACGTGGGCTTGACCTTGCCCATTAACGTTTTCAAGTTGGTCTTGGACGCTGCCTGCTGCTCCACCTCCTCTGCTAGGCTCCTGGGTTCCCCAGCGGGCAGCATCTCTGCGTCTGCTGTTTTCTTCCCTCTTGGGGTCTCAGCGCCACATTCTTGCATCTCTGAGAAGGCATGCTCTTCCCCGGGGCTCTGGTCCATCCTGGGCTTCAGTGCCAGGTACAAGCGCAGGTGTTTTTTCAGCTTTCTGTTTATGTTAAACAACTCTTCAAAGGCCAACTCCAGCTCTTTCTGCCACTTGTTCTTCTCCCGGAGCGTGCACTGAGATGCTGGGGACACAGCTTCCCTTCTGTGGCTGGCACCAGCTGGCCACAGCTGCCCGAGGTCTCTCAGCTTCCCCTCTGGACTCTGTCCCCGAGAGCGACTGGTCAGGGCTGGAACAAAGCAAACTGCCCCCTGTCCCAGTGGCCTCCTCCCCGCCCGAGCTGTTCCTTTCTCTTTTCCCTCCACACGCCTGATTTCTCCCACAGCAGCCACGAGTGGGTCTGGCCTTTTTAGGTCCGGCCCCCTGCTCCTCCGAGGGTGGATGGCACCGCGGCCACCCCCGGACTTGGTCGAAGGTTCTCGCCTTCCCTTTCTCTTCTCAGGCAGGGCCAGGTGAGAATTCGTCTGACCCATGGCTTTTGTAGTCTGTGGTTTCTCTGGGCTCGCTGCTGTCTTCCGGGGCCTGGAGTGCCTGGGGTGTTGCTGGCCCAACTCTTCCCTGCAACTCCTCTCTTCACTAGGGGCCGCTCTGTGCTTCTCCTTGGCCCTTGGGGGCCTGGCTGATCTCCGCTGGACGGGCCCCTCTGAGGCGGGCTCATTTTCCCTGGCCCGTCCTCCTCCCCAGCCTAACAGACGCGCTGACTGCAGTCGGTCCAGGCCTCCGACGTGCAGGTACCGCGCCTCCCGACACCCTCTCCCCAACTCCTCAGCCAAGCGCTGGAGCTGGTAGCTTTTCCACAGCTTGGCATCCGCTCTTCTCTGCAGAGCGAGGTCGCCTGTGCCCCGGGCTTGTAGCGATTTGTGCTTTTTCCTCCAAAGCGGAGCTTCGTTATCAGGACAGAGGCTCAGCCACGTGGCTCCGTCCATGTTTCCGTTCCTGTCTGCGAACCCGGCAGATGCAGCTTCCCAGGGAAGGTGCTTGGAGCAAGAGTGGAGGGTTCGAGGGGCGCCCCCGGGCCTGAGGAGCCACAGAAGCCACGACTGTTGCACAGCAAACCTACGAGGAAGGGAGCACAAGTGCAGCTTTCCGGAGCTCCCAGGAGAGTGAGCAAAGCCCTGGAGACAAGCACACGGGATTCTCACTGTGGGAACAGGCTGCAAAATGTGCCCCTCCGAGTTCTCCTGACCCGTGCCCGCCAGGGCCCACTCTCAGCCTCCCAATTTCTGTCCTGCACACTTTTGACAAGAGCCTGCAGGGCAGCTGTTTTGAACAGAGTATGGTTTTGTTTCCCAGGGGACATCGGCAATGTCTGGAGACATTTTCTATTGTCACAAATGCAGGGAGGAGGTGCTCCTGGCCTGCAGTTGAGTGGAGGCGAGGGAGGCTGCTAAACACCCCACACTGCACAGGAGGGCTGCCCAAGACAGGGAATAACCCAGCCAGAGAGGTCAGCAGTGCCAAGATGGAGAATCCCACCCTAAGGGGCAAGTGTTAGGATTCAGGTAGGGGTGAAGGGGTGCAAAGGGCAGCCCTTGGAAACAAATATTCAGAAGAGCAGCTGGATGTGAAAGAGGAAGTCTGGGCCTCTGGAGGGAGAACTGCTCATAAAGGAAAGGAGGAAGAGATGGAGGAGGGAGGAGCCTGCCAAGCATGTGTGTGTGCAGGGCTGCGTGTGTGTGCATGCATGTGCAGGGGTGTGTGTGAGCGTGTGTGCATGCATGTGCAGGGGTATGTGTGGGTGTGTGTGCATGCAATGTGTGTGCAGGGGTGTGTGTGCAGGGATGTGTGCGCAGGGGTGTGTGTTCAGGGATGTGCAGGTGTGTGTGCAAGGATGTGTGTGCATGTGTGTGCAGGGGTGTGTGTGCATGTGTGTGTGGAAGTGTGTGTAAGGGTGTGTGAGCAGGGGTGTGTGGAGGAATGCGTGTGTGCAGGAGTGTGTGTGTGCAGGGATGTGTGTGCAGGGGTGTGTGCAAGGATGTGTGTGCATGTATGTACAGGGGTGTGTGTGCATGTGTGTGCAGGGGTGTATGTGCGTGTGCATGTGTGTGTAGAAGTATGTGTGTGCAGGAGTGTGTGTGCAGGGGTGTGTGTGCAGGGATGTGCAGGGGTGTGTCTCCATGCATGTGTGTGCAGGGGTGTGTGTGCAGGGATGTGTGTGTAGAAGTGTGTGTGTGCAGGGGTGTGTAGGGATGTGTGTGCATGTGTATGCAGGGGTGTGTGTGCAAGGGTGTGTGTGCAGGGGTGTGTGCATGTGCATATCTGTTTATGTTTCTGTGATCATATCTGCACAACTGTGTGTACAGGGGGGTGTGCAGGTATGTGTATGTGTGTGTGTCAGGGTGTGTATGTGTATGTGTCCGTGTGGGGCATGCAGGTATGTATGTGTGCATGCATGTCTGATACTTGAATCCAGTAGAAACCAAACAGAGAGGAGGAGAAGCTGGTGTTAGCTCTGTTTTCATGATTCCCAGCTCTTTCCTTTTATAATGATCAGAGAAGGACTCTTCCAGTTCTCTTTGGCATCAGGAAGGGACCCATGCTTTGTCAGGCCTTCCTAGGAAAGGAGGGACATTTACATAAAGAGTATGGGATTGCGTCTGTTGCCCCAGGCAGGTGATGCCAGAAACAGCCAGATCTGTGAGCTGCAGGAACGGCTAAGGGACAGTCACAGTCGATATGGAGTCCCCCTCCACTGCCCCTTCCCTTCTTTCATCTTAGTCTATGTGGAACCAGGCTAAGCATTTGGAGTCAAACGTAGTTGCAGAAAATACTGCATCTGTATTACAGCTAACATTAACCGTGCAGGCTCCCCTCTGAGCACTTGCCGTGTATCTGTTCATCTTTTTTACAGTAATCCTTTGAGATATGAAGCTCCTACCGCCCCCCCCCCCGGTTTACAGACAGGGAAACTGAGGCAGGCAGAGATGAAGATGCTTAACTCAGATCACACAGCTGGTAAGTGGCAGAGACAGGCCCTCTGCTGCTCGGACGAACCCCAACACCTTTGACCAACCTCAGGTGGTCACATTGCAGCGGGCTTTGACTTAAGTCTTCTAGTGGGAGGTCCTTGCACCTCTTGGTAAATCAGATCACACATTTAGAATAGTGGTTAATATGATATTGAGCCAGTCTGCCAACCACCATGATGATCAAGAGAGAGAGGGAGAGAGAAAGCTGGGCCCTTAAATGCAATGATTGAGATTTTTGACACAGGTGCCATGGCAATTTAATGTGGAGAAAGAATGGGTTTTTGTTTTACAACAAATGATGCTGGCATAGTTGGATATCCACAGGCAAAAAATGGGAATTCACAGCCTTATCTCACCCTATATACAAAAAGTAACTCACAATGGATTATAGCCTTCATGTAACATCTACAACTATAAACGCTTAGAAGAAAACGTAGATGTATATTCATGACCTTGAGTTAGGCAAAGATTTCTTGGATACAAGACCAAAAGCACAACCAATAAAAGAAGAAACTGGTAAGCTGAACATCATCAAAATAAAAAATAATAAAATAAAACCTTTGTGCTTCAAAAGATACCAAAAGTGAAGTGAAAATACAAAGTACGGACTGGAAGGAAATATTTGCAAATCATATATCCAACAGAAGACTTGAATCCAGAACATATAAACAACTCTTACTACCCAGTAAGATGGCAAATAATCCCATTTGAAAATCAGCAAAAGAAGGCCAGGTGTGGCAGCTCACACCTGTAATCCCAGCACACTGGAGGCTGAGGCGGGCGGATCACTTGAGGTCAGGAGTTCGAAACCAGCCTAACCAACATGGTGAAACCCCGTCTCTACTAAAAATACAAAAATTAGCCGGGTGTGGTGGCGTGCACCTATAATCCCAGCTACTCGGGAAGCTAAGGCAGGAGAATTGCTTGAATCCGGGAGGCAGAGGTTGCAACGAGCTGAGATCGCACCATTGCACTCCAGCCTGGACGACAGAGTGAGACTCTGTCTCAAAAATAAATAAAAATAAAAATCAGCAACGGATTTAAATAGATATTTCACCAAAGAACACAGATGTATGGCTAATACAGCACATAAAAGATGTTCAACGGCAGCGGTCTTTAGGGAAATGCATGCTGACCTTGCAGTGTCCTGCCACCTCACGTCCACTCCAACGGCGATCGTCAAAAAGACAGACAACAGCAACTGTGGGTGAGGAAGGAGGGGGAGGAACTGGAGCCCTGTGCACACTGCTGGTGGGAATGGAAAATGGTGCAGCCATTTTGGAAAACAGTCTGGCAGTTTCTTAAAAAGGGAAACACAGACTTAGCCTATGACCCAGAGATTCCAGTCCTAGGTCTATAAGCAAGAGAAGGCTTGAGTCCACGAAAAGAAACCAAAGCTTGGAGAGGTTGAATAACTTTCCCAGCTCACACGGAGGAGCCGGCCTCAGACACCAAAGACCACCAGGAACAGCCATGGGGATGTCCGATTAGGTGGAGTGAGGTCAGGGCAGGTGAATGTCCCTCTGTGCGCCTCGGAAGGCGCCTGGAGGCCCCGAGCTTCACAGTCTATTTCTGTGCCAAGAGCCATTGGCTCACACTCCTTGTCAACCAACAACAATTAGTAAAACCTGGACAAGTCTCCCCTGCTCTGGAAGTGCCCCCAGCCCATTCAATGACCTCAGTGCACCCTGTGCCAGCCCCACTGGCACAGGCATCCCAATGAAGCAACGTCAGTTTTCCTGGAGACACGCAAACGGGTAAAAACTTAACACATCTGGGCAGAGATATTTGGGATAAGTCCAGAAAATTGCAGCCAGCTCCATCATTCAGGAATTGATCCCCACTCTGACACCATCAGATGCAACCTCGTCCCTGCTGCCCCAGCTCTCCTTGCTCTCCCCTCTGAGACCCTCCCCACTCACTAACTTGAGGCAGAGGGCAGGGTCTCACGTGGACTCGTGCAGGCGCTGGCAGGGATGGTAACTGAGTGTTAGTTGAGCCCAAGATGACCAAGGAGAAACAGCTGTTCACCTGTTACACAGCCTGCTGGGACGCCTGCCTCTGCCTGTGATGCCCGGCCTGAACTCCAGGCAGCCCAGAGTCTCTCCAGCCCTGCCAGACAGGACATCGGGTGCCCTTGGCAGGATACTTGCCAAGGAAGAGAGCCATGGTTCCAATCAGGGCCCTCGCTACAGCTCCCCTCCCAGAGGCACCTGCCCTCTCTGGTTGCTTAGAATATTCTGGAAGGGGCAGGGGTCCTGGTATACCTCTGTCCTCCACATCCTCCAAGTGTTCTGAGCATCTTGGGCTGCTTTGGGGTTTTCTACTCCCCCAATGCCCTCAGGTCCTGCCCCCCAGAGCTGACAAGCCTGCCTTCCGCTGGCTGCCTTCAACCACGCGGGGAAACCACAGATCCCCGCTCCACAGAAGCCGCGCTCGGAGTAGCAGACAGGAAGGCGAGTGGACACCAATCTGGCCTCCGGACGGCACCACGGCCTCCCACAGAGTGGAGTGGACACTGGGCCCATTCTCCTCTCTTGCTCTCTGCAGGAGCCAGTCCATGGCAGCTCCACCCCAGACTGATCCAATCCCAGCGCCTGGGCCCAGGAATGTGCTCAGCCACCAGATTCCCAGCGATTCTCACCAAAGTCAGGCAACCTCTGGCCTACAGCTTGAGAATGACGTCCAAGCAGCTCACCTTTCCCTGGGCGGCCGCTCAGACAGCTTTCCAGCCGAGGCGGTCCTCACCCAGGGACCCTCTACCCAGGTAGCACCCCCTGCCCCCCGATGGCCTTCTCACCCCCCTCCGAAGGCGACTCCAGGCCTGCCGTGCACTCCTGTGGCATCAGGGCAGAGTGGGGGATGAGCATCACAGTCGTAGGGAGTGTGAGGCCCCCAGAATGGGGGCTCCACGGTCAGACAGGCCTGCGTCCCAGCTGCAGGATAGCACGTCCTGTGGTTCACTGTGAGACCTCCGCCTCTCTCGTCTGCCTCACGCTGCCCCCTCACACCCTCAAGGTGTGACGGTGTTTGAACAATGCACATGCCCATCTGGAGCCTTGGGGTGGGCCTGTGAGAGAATGGCCTGCCCACCCCAGTCCCCGACAGGTGCGCAGTCCTGCGGCTAAGCAGGGGCAGTCATGGCAAAGGCTCAGGCCCTCCAACTACCAGGCTGTGTTGTGATGAGGCTGCTGGAGCCCCAGGCACCATGACGGGAATGGGTGAATCCGCCCATGGTGGGTGACTCTCAATGGGATACTAGCCTGGTACACTTGGACACCCCAAAATCAACGCAGACATCACATCCCCAGGAGAAGGCGCCCCAACAGACATAGGGGACAACGGCAAGCCTGGCCGTCCCTGAGGACAATGGCAGGACTCAGAGTGCCTCTCTCCTCCTCAAGGCATGAACTGGCCCCTCCAGATGCAAGGACGACCTTTTCTTCCCACCTCGGCCTGTAACAGACGCGACACAGGCCATACTCTTGGCTAGAGTCACCACAAAATGATCCGGGGCGTGAGTGTGAAAACAGGAGCCAGTGGGGCTGCTGTGTCAGTTTTCCTGGAGACACGGAAATGGGTACAAACTTAAAACATCTGGGCAGAGATCTTTGGGATAAACTCCAGAAACTGACAAACAGCTCCATCATTCAGGAAGTGACTTCCCCCATGATACCATCAGATGAAACCTTGTCCCTGCCACCCCCCGCTCTCCTTGCTTTCCCCTCTGAGCCCACAAAAAGAAACAAAAGCTCAGAGTGGCTGAATAACTTTCCCAGCTTACACGGAGGAGCTGGGTTTGAATCCAGACATCACGCTGATCAACACGCAGACCCACAGGGTTTCGTACTCTTCCGGCATTTCACACACATCTCTCGCCATCTCACCACCTCACCATAGGCGGTGAGGCCTGTTCCTATCCGCACAATCTGACAGGGAAATTGAGACTCAGAGAGGTTAAGTAACTTGCCTAAGGCCACACAGCTCATAATCAGGGCAACAGGGATTCCAGGCCGAGCAGGCAGGCCCCTGATCCAGTCTCCTAGCCTGCCGCCCAGGGAGGTCAGAGCTGGAAACCACTTCCACAGCACAAGGAGACTCTGCTCAGACTGTGCTTGGCCTCACACGACCTGTGACCTCCCTGGCCCTCCTGGGACTCTGGCAGGTGTACTGAGCTTCTGATGGGTGGGAAGGCCTGCAAGGGGCCTGCGTGCATTCTGTGTGCATTGACCCAGGACACCATGGTTGGTGCCTCTGAGTTCATCACGTTGACCATCCCCATCTTTCTGCTCGAGTACCTGATTGGTCAACATGCACAGAAGGCTGAGCCCCGGCCATGGTGCAGCTTGAGTCTTGTTAAAAGTCAGGCTCTGATTCAATAGTCTGGGCCCAAGACTCTGCATTTCTTCTTCTTTTTTTGTTTTTGTTTTTTTTTTTGTTTTTTTTTGTTTGTTTGTTTTTGAGACAGAGTCTTGCTCTGTTGCCCAGGCTGGAGTGCAGTGGTGCAATCTCAGCTCACTGCAACCTCCACCTCCTGGGTTCATGCAGTTCTCTTGCCTCAGCCTCCCGAGTAGCTGGGATTACAGGCACGCGCCACCACGCCTGGCTAACTTTTGTATTTTTAGTAGAGATGGGGTTTCACCAGGCTGGCCACACTGGTCTCAAACTCCTGACCTCAAGTGATCCACCCACTTGGCCTCCCAAAGTGCTGGGATGCCAGGCGTGAGCCCCTGCGCCCGCGAGACACTGCATCTCTAAAGTGCCGGGATTCCAGGCGTGAGCCCCTGCGCCCCGCCAGACTCTGCATCTCTAAAGTGCTCCCAGGGATGCTGCTGCTGCTGTCTGTGCTGTCTGGGGGACCACACTTGGAGTACTGTGGCCCCGGCAAACCATCTTTTCCAGGATGCTGCATCTTGCTCTGCCTTCCTCCCCTGCCAGCAGCTCAGCCCTGATCATCTCTCACCTGAGGCCCTTAAAAGCCTCCCCAGTCAGCCTCTCTGCCCCGACCCCCAGGCCTGTACCCCGTCCTCTCCTGCACTGCAGCCCAGCGCTGTCTGAGCGGCCTGGTTACATTTCAGCAGCCCTCGTGTGATTCCCTGCTGTCCACGCCAGCAAGTCTGAGTGCAATCCGCAGCCACGTGCATCACAATCAGCTGAGCTACTAGTGAAGGGGTAGATTCCTGGGCCTCGCCCCTGACAGATCCTATCCCAGCCCCTGCGGAAGGGGCCCAGGAATGCGGCCAGTTCACCAGCTGCCCTGCCAAAGCCTGGCAATCTCTGGGCCCAGAGGCTTGAGAACGGTCAAGCAGCTCGCCCTGACTCCCCTGGGACCCACCCCAGCCTGCAGCGCCGCACACCAGGCAGGTCTGGCAGGGCTCCTGGCCATCCCCAAACGCCCCACACCCAGCAGCGCCTGGACCGTGCTCATGTGGGTTTCTCGTGACACGGACACACCCCCTTCCCCATCCTACCCACATGTCCCCAGCCCAGGCCTTGTTCCCACTCCCCCAGGACACCCCAACCCTCCAAGGGAACAAAGAGAACGCTCTTCCCTTTCTCCAGAAGCCCAGCACCCGGGACACACAGTCGAGCGCTTTGTCTTGGAAACATAAAAATAGCTATAGAAGGGCTCCCATGAGCTGGCATCGGCCAAAGAGAGAACATTTCCATATAATTAGAGCTTACCCTTTCATATGGAAAGTTAGACATTTCTCTGTCTACGGAGCCTACGTAGAATATGTAATTTGACCTTCTTTGGGGGAAACTTTGGATTGCCTTTGGAATGATAACATAGGAAATCCCTTGAGGGCTTTTAAAATGTAGAGAACAGAGGTCCCATAAACTATGTGACCCTGGAACACAATTTGGGTTTTTTAAGTCACCTTTTTAGAGCTTCCTGTGTCCTCCCTTCCCTGGTCGTAACTGTGTGTCTGACAGCAGCCACACAAACAAGCCTATTAAAATTGTGCTTTTCTGGCCGGGTGTGGTGGCTCATGTCTGTAATCCCAGCACCTTGGGAGGCTGAGGTGGGCGGATCACCTGAGGACACGAGTTCAAGACCAGCCTGACCGACATGGTGAAACCTCGTCTCCACCAAATACAAAAAATTAGCCAGGCATGGTGGTGTATGCCTGTAATCCCAGCTACTTGGGAGGCTGAGGCAGGAGAATAGCTTGAACCCAAGAGGCAGAGGTTGCAGTGAGGCAAGATTGTGCCACTGTACTCTAGCCTGGGCAACAAAGCAAGACTCAGCTTCAAAAAAAAAAAAAATGTGTTTTTTAATAAAGTAAGTAACAGTCCGAGGTGGTGGTGGGCTCTTCCACAGGACCACGGCCTGAGCTTGCACACCTGACCTTATCAATTCAACACCAGATACAGATGACCCATGGGGAAGGTGGAAAATTGTTGTTAGACTCTAGCCTAGGTTTTACCAGCTTGCACACCTGGCTGAATCTTACACAATAAAAGGGAATGGGAACACATCTAAAACTTATATGTAGGTCCCTAAATCCAACAATGCAGGTACAGAGGGGGTGTATGGAGCAGCACATGGGACAAAAGACGCTGGGTCACCAGAAGGGCCAACGTGACTGTCCCCTGCGGGAACAGAAATGCCTCTAACACACAAACGAATGGTGCAGCCCAGCTGGCCAGACCTCACCTGGCCGTGCTAGAATGCAGTGGGAAAGCGGCACGCTGTGGTGCCCAGGATGCCAGCGGGCACAACGCCACATCCACGGGCACTGCCTGTTCCCACCCTACAGGATGCCACAGCACCAGACGAGACGGCCCGTGTGAAGCGCCGAGAACGGAGTCTGGCTCCTGGGAAGGCTCAGGAAATGCCCAGAGCTCAGCGTAGATAGCCACGTGGTGCTGGATTACACGCGCAAGGAACCGACGGGCAGATGTGGAGCTAAATGACCGTAAACAGCTATGAAGTGCCTGTGCTCTAGAAACGGCCAATTTGATCATGTCATGGGATAAAGTCTCAAAATCAATAAAACCGTGATGAAATAATCAGGAATAAACCTATGAAGACATGTTCAAGGCCTAAAGGAGATGCACAGGTTGAAGAACAAGGAGCAAATCTGAATGAGGGAGAGGTGTGTCTTCCTGGACAGCTCTCGGGAGAGGGGGAGGGCGGTAAGGACGGGGAGAAGAGGCCGCAGGCTTGGAGTTCAGGAGGAGAATGAAATAAACAGGTCCTAGGAAGAAAAACCAAAGGAGGTGATGTGGGGCAGGGGTGTTTGCAAAGGATAGAAAAATGTAGAATGGCAGAGTATGGTGCTTAAGGGTACTAACTGCGTGACCTAGGCCAAGCTGCTTCACTCTGGGTGCCTCAGTTTGCTCTTCAGGATGGGGATGATAACGACAGCAGCACCCATCTAGAGATGCCAGCGCTTGTCACCACGAGAGGCACCTGAAATGCTTGGGGAAGAGGGGTGGTACTTACTGTGTGTGTCTCCAGATGACTAAGCTAGACCACCCAAAACACATTACAGAGAGGCAGAAGCTGGCAGGGGGGCAGGAAGCACTGTCTCCAGGGTTGTCTTGAAATCATTGGGCTGACTTGGTAGGTAGTGAGACGCCCATCACTGGAGGCATCCAAGCCAAGCCCAGATAAAACAAACATGAGAAACATTTTTAACTCTGTTTCTCTGAGTTCTAGCCTCTAAAAATACCCTCCATGACACCCTGTGTGCTGCCAGAGCCTTGGTTTTCACCCTCTTCTCCCCAACTCTTAGCTAAGTTCTGGTGGCGGCGAGGGGACGGGGGTCCCAAGGCACTGTACTGGGTTTTGGTTTCACTATGTTGCCCAGGCTGGAGTGCGATCTCAGCTTACTGCAACCTCCACCTTCCGGGTTCAAGCAATTCTTCTGTCTCAGCCTTGCCGAGTAGCTGGGACTACACCCGCACGCCACCACACCCAGCTAATTTTTGTATTTTTAGTAGAGACAGGGTTTCACCATATTGGTCAGGCTGGTTTCAAACTCCTGACCTCAGGTGATCCACCCGCCTCAATCTCCCAAAGTGTTGGGATTCCAGGCATGAGCCACCACGCCCAGCCTGCACTGGGTTTTGGACTGGCCGTGTTAGCATCACCTGGGGCGGGGGTGGGTCATGTTAGAATGAGTCCCGGCTAGGCCCACAGCAGGCTTTTTCACCCGAATACTGGGGCCGCAGCTCATGAATCTGTGTGTACCCATCCCCCGGGCTGGGTCAGCTCTCCAGGGCAGAGATGGTTGGGCAGGCGGCCTCTGAGGACAAGCTCGGGCTCAGGCCTCCCCTCGACCAGCTTCACAGAGACAGACACTGAGGCAGACTGACCTCCAACTCCCGGCTGAGGCGCCAGCTCCCCACGTGGGGGGCTTACAGCTGATGCAACTGGTGGCTCATTAAACATACCTCGAAGCGTCAATTACCACTTCCCTGCAAACCTCAAGATCCCAAGCACCCAGCCTAGGTCAGGGGTCCCCAACCCCAGCAGCTGTTCCTGCTTCCTGAAGACCGCCCCCCACAACTCCTCCAATAACCATATTCATCTCCAACCCAGTCCCACCAGCTTCCCTCACCCTCCTCCCAATCAAACTGCCTGTGGGGAACCCTGCGGTGCAAGGACTTTGCCACGGGTCTTATGAACACATGGCTTGGAGCCCCTCCTTGGCCCACTCTCCGAGGCCCTCTTGGGAGCCTCACTGAACAGTTGGGCATGGAAAGAGCCCCACCCTCACCACAGACGGGAGCAGACATAGAGAGCCTGGACCCCCCCCACCGGTGGTCTCAAGGGCCCACTGACCAAAGGTGGCTGGAATCGCTTCCCCGCCTCCACCTGCAGCCCGGCCTCTGTCCTGGCTGGCTACCCATAGCAGGCTGTTGCCATGGGAACAGCAGAGCTGTTAAGCTGTGACATCATGGCAGGGGTGAGGTCAGGGACAGCTGCGAGCGAGCCAGAGGGCAAGCGTGTAGGTCAGGGGATCAATCACAAAGATTCGGCTCAAGCAGCCGGGAGCCACAGGGACATCTGAAGGTGCCTGTTTAAGGAGGTGTGGGTGAACAAGGACAGTGCAATGTACAAATGCTCGTGGCCACACCAGGCAGAGGACATCTTCCTGTCCCCAGCCGGCAGCATGGAGACCTCCCTGGGATGTCATTCTCTCTGAGCTGTCAGGCCATTAAGAGGTACACTTCAAGGTCAGGTTCCTGACAACACTTGCCATCCCTTCTCCTGTAGGGACAGCATCTGTTCACGCTTCTGAACAGCCATCGTTAAGCTGAAACCCACTGGAGGCGGGGGAAGAAAGAATCCCATCAACCACCTGCCCACACAGGAGGAGAAGCCACACATACTGGGCCTCGCTTTTAGGGCTAGTTCCCCACAGACTGTGTGATCAGAAGGATGGGCGAGGAAGCTGGCAGGGCGAGGCTGGGGATGAACATGGGGCACTGGAGGAGTCTGGCCGGGGCGGGGGGTGGTCTCCAGGAAGCAGGAGTAGCTGCTAGAGTTGAGGACTCCGACCTAGTCTGAGTGCCTGGAATCTTAATGTTTGTGGGAAAGTGATGACTGGCATTGTCAAGATATGTTTTTTGTTTGTTTTTTAGACAGTCTTGCTCTGTTGCCCAGGCTGGAGTACAGTGGCACAATCTCGGCTCACTGCAACCTCTGCCTCCCAGGTTCAGGTAATTCTAGTGCCTCAGCCTTCTGAGTAGCTGGGACTACAGGTGCGTGCCACCATGCCCAGCTAATTTATATATACACACACACACATATATATACACACATACATATATATATGCATATAAATATATATATATATATATATATATTTTTTTTTTTAGCAGAGATGGGGTTTACCATGTTGGCTAGGCTGGTCTTGAACTCCTGACCTCAAGTGATTCCCCTGCCTCAACCTCCCAAAGTGCTAGGATTATAGGTGTGAGCCACTGCACCCAGCCCAAGATATGTTTTAGTAAGCCACCAGTTGGATCATCTGTAAGCAACTCACTAGAAGCTTCTAGCATCCTCCACAAATTCGACAACTGAGAAATGTGGCTGGGGAATCATGATTTGGGTCCGAAGAAGTGAAAGCAACAATCCTCAGGGTGTTGTTTCTTGAGAGAAGAAGGTAAACAGCAGGAATTTGGCTGAGGCGTCCAAATCTCGGGGGGGATGAGTTCTCAGGAGAGATGAACCTGAGACAAAGCCGTTTGTCCTGGGTTGGAAGGATCCTGGAAAGGTCATCTGGTCCCTGACTCAGGGAAGGGAAGCATTCTCCCCACAGGTATGTTCTCAACCACAGTCCACCGCCGCACCCCTGCCCCCAACCATTTTTGGAGTCCATCTTCTCAGCCCTTGAGGATTAATTTTATGTCAGCTTGATGGGCTAAGGGATGCTCAGATAGCTGGGAAAACATGATTTCTGGGTGGGTCTGGGAGGGTGTCCTGGGAAGAGACCAGCATCTGAACCGGGGGACTGAGTAAGAAGATCCCTCCTCGCCAGGGTGGGCACCACCATTCAATCTGTAGAAAGCCCCGACAGAACAAAAAGGCAGAGGCAGAGGCAGGCAAATCCTCTCTCTGCAAGAGCTGGGACATCCAGGTCAGGCGCAGTGGCTCACGCCTGTAATCCCAGCCCTTTGGGAAGCTGAGATGGGCGGATCACCCGAGGTCAGGAGTTCGAGACCAGCCTGGCCAACATGGTGAAACCCCATCTCTACTAAAAATACAAAAATGACCCGGGCGTGGTGGCGCACACCTGTAGTCCCAGCTACTCAGGAGGCTAAGGCAGGAGAATCACTTGAACCAGCAAGGCAGAGGTTGCAGTGAGCTGAAATCATACCACTGAACTCCAGCCTGGGCAACAAAGTGAGACTCCATCTCAAAAAAAAAAAAAAAAAAGAGAGAGCTGGGACTTCCATCTTCTGCCTTGGACCTCAGAGATCCTGGGCCTCAGGCCTTTGGGCTCTAGGACTTACCCCAGTGGCTGCCCCGCTTCTCAGGCTTTTGCATTACAGCACCAGTGAACCTGCTGCTCCAGCTTGCAGACAACGGATTACAGGACCTCCCAGCCTTCATACATGCATGAGCCAATCCCCACATAAATCCCATCTAACACAGCTGGATGGAGCCTGTTGGTTCTGTTTCTCTGGGAAACCCTAATATGGCCCTATAGATACAAAATCTTCTATATGCTTCTTCTTTGGAGAAGATCCCTACATCTTTTATCCTCTCAGCGTGGCCTTGACGCCCCCCTAAAGCAAGGGGAAAGGTTCTAGTGAGGAGGAAATAGCACGGGGCCCAACAGGATGGCAGGCTGGGCCTTCGATGGCCCTTGCGGAATGTCCGGCATGACTCCCAAGTGCTCTTCAGGTCTTTTCTGGACTGAGGACATCTATCTCAAGCCCGGGTTCTCCTGATGCTGCCTTGGCAAGCCCTAGAAGGCAGTCCCATCCTCTGGATTAATCCGCACTGCTAAATGGTCTCTCTGGCATGGCATTCACCATTGACCTAAGGCCAACTCAGCCTTGAGAGTCTGGGTCCATACTATCGTTGACTGCAATTAGACCCACATTTTACCAAACGCTAACTTTCAAAAATTACAGGTACAGGCAGACCTCAGATATATTGTGGGTTCAGTTCCTGCAGAATCACAATAAAGCGAATATTGCAATAAAGTGAGTCATATGACTCTTTTGGTTTCCCAGTGCACATAAACATTATGTTTACATTGTACAGTAGCCCAGTAAGTATGCAATAACATTTTGTCTTATCAAACAACGCATACACCTTAATTTACATTGGCCAGGGGCAGTGGCTCACATCTGGCATCCCAGCACTTTAGGAAGCCAAGGCAGATGGACGGCTTGACCCCAGGAGTTTGAGAACAGCCAGGCAACACAGTGAGATCCTACCTCTACAAAAACTAAAAATAGCCAGGCATAGTGGTATGTACCTGCACTCCCAGCTACTCAGCAGGCTGAAGCAGGAGGATGGCTTAAGCCCAGAAGTTCGAGGCTGCAGTGAGCTAAGATCATGCAACTGCACTCCAGCTTGAGTGACAGAGCAAGGTCCTGTCTCAAAAAAAAAAAAAAGAAAAACCTAAAACTTGAAGAAATAAAAATAAAACTACTTTACTGCTTGAAAATGCTAACGATCATCTTGACCCTCAGTGAGTCCTAATCTTTTTGCCGGTGGAGGTTCTTGCCTCCTGATGGCTGCTGACTGATCAGGGTGGTGGTTGCTGAAGAGTGGGGTTGGCTGCAGCAATTTCTTTTTTTTCTTTTTTTTTGAGACGAGTCTCGCTCTGTTGCCCAGGCTGGAATGCAGTGGTGCGATCTCAGCTCACTGCAACCTCCATCTCCCGGGTTCAGGCAATTCTTGTGCTTCAGCCTCCCGAGTAGCTGGGATTACAGGAATGCGCCACCACGCCTGGCTAATTTTTGTATTTTTAGCGGAGGCGGGGTTTCACCATGTTGGCCAGGCTGGTCTCCAACTCCTG